GAGCTGGGGCCCAGCCCTGCGGGCAGGCTGGGGGAGCAGGTGCTGGTGTCCTCCTGGCACCGTCCTGCCCACCTCATGTCCCCACAGCTGTGGGCAGGTGGCCGGGGGGCACCCACAGTGCTGGGAGAGGATCTGGGACACGGCCCGCGGGACGCTGCAGCAGAGCATGGAGTTGGAGCTGCACCTTGCCAGCAAGGAGCAGATGGTGAGGCCAGGCATGGGTTAGGCATGGCCGGTTGCACCCAGCCCTGTGCCGCCAGGGTTGGGTGCCTGCCTCATCCTGCTCCAGTACCACATCTTGGGGGACCATGCCTCCCAGCGCCGGCAAGTCAGGGGGGATGATGGGGTTCAGCACCAGCTCCTGTGCCCAGCAGGTCCACCAAGCTGCCCTGCACCGGCTCCTCCAGGACGAGCACCAGCGGGAGCTGTGCCAGCTTAGGAAAGCCTTCTACATGGAGTGTCTGTGAGTGCCCGACCTGGTGGGCTCAGCACTGGCCTGGCATCACCCAGCTTCCTGGCTGAGAATAAAACACGTTGAGCAAGACGGGGGCTGTGTCTGCTTGTGTGCTGGGATGTGGGACAGCCCTGGGCGGAGGTGGAGGGAAGGGGCAGCCCAGCACGATCGCCGTGGCTGGGATCTGGCAATGTTGCCTGCAACCCTACACGTGCCAGATCCTGCACACACGGTCCCAGCCATGGCCACGCCAGGAGATGGCAGCACGGCCAGTGTGCCTCTGCCAGCCCTGTGTGCTCCGCAGCTGGGTCCCGCTCCCGGCACGGGTCCCGCTGTGCATGCCAGCATCGGCCACACGCTCCTGTCCCCTGTGGCACGGTGCTCCTGGCCGTGCGGCACAACCCCGCAGCAGCGGGGAGAGGAGCCCGGCCGGGCTGGGTGCAATGCTCCCTGGCCCCACTCACCGTCCGGGCACCCCTGAACACCCGCCTGCTCCTTGATTGGGGGGCCCCATCCCCCACTTCTTGTCCCCGCTGCCTGCGCCCGACCTTGGTGTCTCCCGGCCCCAGGGCCCATCAGCGCCTGCCCTGGCTCTGCTTATTGACAGGGCTGGGGGCTGCTGGGCCGGCACTCCCCGCCCACGGCCCTTCATTAGCTCGGCTGTCGGGTTGCATCACATCAGCTGCTGCTGCACATGTGCCCCCGGCTCCCAGCACCGTGCTACCGCCACATGTGTCCCTGCTGTCCCTGCTGCCACCCTCCCCGCGTGGCCCTGCTGCCATCCCCATGGGGCTGGAGCCCCTGGTCCCCCAGCCCAGGCAGGCAGCGGGGCAGGGGCTGTGCCCCTGTCCCCCCGTAGCACTTGAGGCTGTGGCTGCCCCACGTCCTGCCCCATTGGCCCCCCAAAGTTTGGGTCTCTGCAGAGCCCCTGACACCATTCCCAAGGTCAGTGCATCCTGCTGTGGTGAAGCACCAGCATGGTGCGGGGAGACACATGGCCCCAGCACCCCCAGAGACCCTGTGTGCCCTCATGGCTGGACACCACCGGCCAGGTCCCAAGGGCCACCCTGGAGTGGGTCTGGGGTCCTGTCTTTGTCACCCAGCTGTGCCCAGCATGGGGGGGCCACATCCGCATGAGTGATGGGGCAGGGCGACAGGCGGTCGCTGCCTCCGGCCGCCCAGCGGAGGGAATGCTTCCGTGGACAGGGGGTCCCAGCGGTTCCCCCAAAGCGAGGAGACAGGGACACAGGAGGAGGGGATGTGGGGCACAGCCCCCCCAGTGCCAGCCAGGCCTTGTCCTTGGGCAGGGTCACATGCAGCCCCTCAGTGGCGCAGAGCCCGCGGGGCAGGGCGACAGGCGGTCGCTGCCTCCGGCCGCCCAGCGGAGGGAATGCTTCCGTGGACAGGGGGTCCCAGCGGTTCCCCCAAAGCGAGGAGACAGGGACACAGGAGGAGGGGATGTGGGGCACAGCCCCCCCAGTGCCAGCCAGGCCTTGTCCTTGGGCAGGGTCACATGCAGCCCCTCAGTGGCGCAGAGCCCGCGGGCTGGCTCCCCGGTACCCGGTACCGCCCAGCGGAGGGAATGCTTCCGTGGACAGGGGGTCCCAGCGGTTCCCCCAAAGCGAGGAGACAGGGACACAGGAGGAGGGGATGTGGGGCACAGCCCCCCCAGTGCCAGCCAGGCCTTGTCCTTGGGCAGGGTCACATGCAGCCCCTCAGTGGCGCAGAGCCCGCTGGGACGGGGCTGGCTCCCCGGTATTGATGGCCCCGCTAATGACGGCGGAGTGTGACCGGGGGCAGGAGCAGGCGGTGCGGGGCCATCGACCCATATCGACCGGCAGCGCTCAGCAGCAAGGGCACAGGGGTCTGCGGAGGGGGCAGGGGGACATCGATGTGTATAATTAATGGGAATGAGGCCACATGCGTGGGGCCAGAGTGCTCGCCGGCCGTGTCCCCCCGCCGGGTGCAGCTGAGCGCGGTTATAAATGGTGGCTGGGAGACCCCTGAGCCAGACCGCCGAGGAGGCCCCCAAGCCGGCCCAGGTAAGGCAGTGACGGACGTGGGGTCCCCTTGGCCCTGGGTGCGCAGGGACGGGTGGGCAGTGCTGCCTGCTGTGCCATGACATGCTGTGCCAGTCCATGACATGCTGTGCCACAGTGTGCCATGGCGTGCCGTGCTGTGCTGTGCCAGGAGACTGTGCCTGCACTGCTCTGCTCTGGCTTCGTCCCCGCTGCGGGATGCCTCCTGCTTGGGCACCAGATCCCAGAGCATCCCAATGCCGGTGCAGGCGCCCAGGCGGGCTCTAGACACTGAGGCTGGGGTGCTGCCTGTGTGGTGCCCTGTGGGGTCCTGCCTGGGCAAACAGCGAGGGGTTAACCCATCCCCTGCTCTCAGCCTCTCCTCTCCTTCTCTTGCAGGGAGCTGAGCCCCAGGTCCCGTCCGCCTCCACCTGCCCCTGCCTCTGTCTGATATGTTTGATATTAGGTTGTTTTATTGGAAAACCAACTAAATATCAAACATATTCTTACAGCGCCAGGGAGGCCCAGCACTGACCCGGCGAGATGCTGCCTGCACCCTCCTGTGGGCAGGGGGGAGTGCGGGGGGTCCCTCCATGCCCCTTTCCACACACCCAGTCCGCCCTCTTGCTGCTGCAATAAAACCCTGTCTGCCTGTACCGCGCGCCCGTCTCCATGGGGCCGGGGAGAGGGAGCTGGGAGCTGCCATCCCCGGGGGCCGGC